CATAGGACTTCGGTTCACCAAGGCCTGGTATTTCTCAGTGTAGCGCTGTATTGACAGTTTTCCCTGTTTAAGCTTTCTCAGTTCCTCCATAGCCTGCTTCCCTGCGGAGTAAACCTGCAACGCAGCGCGTCCCGGAAGGCCTGCATGGACCTGATGTACTCCGGGAACGTTGAGTCGTTGCTTAAGTGTAGCCACCACCAGCGTGCGTCCCCTTCTAACAAGGAAGAGGCCAGGACTAGTTGGAATTCTTCTGGGGCATTTGAAGGCGGAGATATATGTCTAGGGAATTGAAGAACTCCTCTAAAGCCTCCGCATCCCGCGGCCCATCCTATCGCGTTGGACGGCGCAACCGGAAGCACTCCTCTTGAATCGTTTCTGGCGGGAATGCATTTTCTCCGGGATTAGATGCCGAAATGGAGCTGGCCTCCGCTTCCTGTGGTTCTAGACCGTGCGTCGGCTCCCCGTCCGTGAGTGGCTCGTAGTTAACCTCCATTTTGCCGAAGAGAACACTGAAGTTGGGGGAGATTTTGTCTACGAAAAAAATGGGTTTTATTTCGATATAAATAAACGGAGAAAATGAATTTTATTTATTTTTGAGATCATTTGTTTTTTCAGCGATGCTTAATCTCACCCTTGTGGGGATCCGGGCCAGGCTCGCGCCTTGACCCGATGAACCATTCGGTGGTACCAAGTCTAACGCTTGTTCTCTGGCCTTTTTCTTACCAGAGGCGAGCCGCAATCTAGGCAAAGACTTAAAGCAAGAGTTTCCCAAAACCAGCTGACCTCCTTCCCCGATCCCTAGGCATCCTGGGCATTGAGCTCAGGGCCTGGGTGTTGCCGCGAGGAGGCAGCCAGAAATGGGGTTGCAGCGCACCCCGCTGCGGCTGGTAGTTCAAGCCAGTCCCACGCGTGCACGTAAGGAATCTTCAGGGAAGCTTCCTTTGCTGCATGCTTTGCCGCTGAACGAACTTGTAGAACGTTTGCAAGCTTTTAGACGCAGCGTACCAAAACCAGGTGAAAGCTTCTGCGCTAACTCATGCTACAAATGGGGTTGCAACGCACATTGCTGCAGTTAATAGCATAAACCAGCCCCACGGATGCACGCAAGGAAGCTTCACCTAAGCTTCATTTACTGCATGCTTCACCTATGACCGTACTTGTGGAACGTTTGCAAGCGTTTGCCCTCGACGTGCCAAAACCAAGTGAAAGCTTCTGCGCAAACTCTTGCCACGACAGGAGCCATCACTTGGCCTTGGTAGGCTACGTGTAAGCAAATACAAACGTCCTATAGGTGTATTCAGAGGTGAATCATGCACTAAAGAAGGCATCAACGGAGCTTTGTTGTATGCGTGCGTGAGGCTGGCTTGTCTTACCAGACGCGGCGATGTGGGCTGCAACCCCACTTGAGGCTGCCTCCTCCCCGCAACACCCAGGTCCTGGGCTCAACGCCCAGTATGCCCGAGGACAGGGAAAGGGGGTCAGCTGCTTTGGAAAACTCTTTAGGTCTCTTCATCGCAGCCCGCTGCTGTTCTTGAATAAGGCAAGAGAGAAATCGCTACAACAGGCAGCTGCTGCTGCATGGGAACCCCACATCCACCCGTGCCCAATGCCTCATTTTATTC